GAAATGCTAAGCATATAGAAATGAGGACTCAGGGGCTGGGGATTTAGCTCAGCGGCATAAGAACCTGCCTTGAAAGCAGGCAGTCTTGAGTTCAATCCCCACTACCGATAAAAAAAAAAAATGAGGACTCAAGGTTGTGAAAAACTCTCAGCTATCCAGACTGCAGAAGATGTGAAAGGAGGAGGCAACTCACTGTCAGGAAAGCTTGGTCTACACAGGACATCAAAAACACGCCCAGAACACCTTGTCCCAGTGCCTTGGAAGATTTACAGAGTCACACAAACAGCTCTTCACAGAGATTGTGTCATTGGAGGACTCCTTCAGCTGGGGAAGCTAGAGGCAGAGGTGGGCTCTTTCCACAAAGGGCTGTGGAGGAGCCTCTTGACCAGTGGAGTGACATTCAAAGAAGACCACAGAACTCTAGCATATTTATCCCACAGATATCCAGCCAGTTTAAAATGAAATAGGATGAAACCAAAGCGATCCATGGATCTCTCAAAATTATCAGGAAGGAAACGGACTGAAAACACAGCTCAGCAGAAAACGGATGCTGACTTTCAGGGAAAGGGGAGGATGCCCACCTTTCCATAAAAGATGCCAGGCTGCAGGCCCAGAAGGTGCAGCCCCAGCCAGAGTGCTCCCCTGGATCTCAAACCAGACTTATTTACCTACCTTAATCTCTAAATGGCTTTGAACTGCTGGATGCTTTTTTCTTTTTCACATTCTATCTTTGAATGGGACTATCCATAAATGTAATTAAGTGGCCATGTAGTTTTCAGTGCAGACAGCTTGTTTTCTCATTTCTCGAATGAAAAGCCACTTTGTGGAATAAGCGGAATTGTGCCCAGAGCCTTATCCATGTCCACATGTAAGATAATTTTGATGATCAAATTGAAGACTTTTTAAAAAATTTTATTTAAAGAAAGACTAAATCAAACAGAAAACGGGTAGAAATAATATATACTTTCAAAGAACAAAATAAACAGCAAGAAATCACTAGTTGATGATCACAGATTGTCCTCTTACAAAGTTATTCAAGATACTAAAGTGGTGCATGTAAAGTGGGGATTCAAACAGTGAGATTGCAACCAGTTCTGTTCAACTATCCAACAAAAACTTAGAAATATAGTTATCAATCTTATACACTTAAACATACATGCAGTTATCCATCTCTTCAATTATGTTGAGATTGAACAAACTCAAGTAGTCTAGTATCACTCTGAATAAAGAATAATACTATTGCTGGATGTCACATTATGACACTGCAAGATCAGCACTGGGTACTTCAGTGTCTCTTTTTCTTCAAAGTATCTGTTCATTTCATCATGTGTCATAAGATCAATTCTCATAAACTGTTTATAGATTTTACACATGCATGAGGCTTAACATGTGTTTTTTTTTTTTTTTTTGTCTTTTTCGTTTTTTACCGGTACCAGGGATCGAACTCACGACTGCCTGCTTGCAAGGCAGGCACTTATGCCGCTGAGCTAAATCCCCAGCCCCTTAACATGTGTTTCTATCCTTTCTATATTAGAGGGAGAAACAAAGCAAGACAAAACAAAACATATTCCTATAAACACATGAAATGAAAAAAGACATATAAGATTGTTGTACAAGGAGCTCTACCATAGTTCCTGTGTTGTCTCTTGTTATCTTCAAAAGAACTGGATATATCTTCAGATGTAGTATAATTGAATATATCAGTACATAACAGTATTAATAAAACATAACTTTGTATGCAGTATAAAATTTTAAAAGCAGACAGTTATCAAACCAGAATGTGTATCATAGAGTCTTGTCATCTTCAGTGTAGTTGCCTATACTCTCAGACTTGATATTATCAATCATATCAGTTTTGAATAAAATCTGTCGATACCAAACAGCAATCAAACAGACCAGATTTAACTAAGATCAGTAATGATAAAACAGTGTAAATCATACAGGGCTCCAGATTAAGTTAATAGGAAATTAAAGATGATTTACTGTGCTATATCCTGATGTTTTTGGGATAGCTGTCTGTGACCTCAAATCTAATGCAAATAGACAAACTGGGACAGAATAAAATATCAAAAAAAAAAAAAGAATAAAATCTATCTAAGCAGTGGTGCGAGTAATATGGTTTTTAAATCCTGATACACTATTAACAATATCTTCTGCCATCTTTTTTAAGACTCTCCCTCCACTTTCACTTTCCTAGGGTACACTGTGTATGTCTGGGTCTGACCAAGATCCTTGGATTTGAATTGAGGGGGGCAACCTGCTATTTACCTAAGTGGTTCCAAGCCTTCTCTCTCCTGGACTTGATTTCTAATTGTATTCCTTTTCCTATTAAAGCCTGTCTTTCTAATCTATCCACAAATACTGGTCTAGTTGCCCCTATTACTCTCTGGTTCTCTGTCACATAGAGCTTTGTTTTCTCAGATTTGTTTTTCAGTCCATGTACTCTTTTTCATGTTAATTATATTTCCAATAAACAGCATCTCAAGTGAAGACTTTTAAACTGATGAGTCTTATTATTTTGGATTGAGTAATGCAATGAGATTCCAGGGGGAACTCCAGATGGAGTGCATGTACTTCACACGTGACTGGATACAAATCTTTAGGGGCCAGTGGATGGACTATGTTGACTTTAACAATCCCCCCAAAAGGTTACACATTCTAATCTTTTATGTCACTTTATATAGCAAAGGGCACTTTGTGTATGTGGTTTGAAGACTTTTAGATGGGAAGATTTTCCTGGATAATAAAACGGGATGAAATGTAATCATAAAAAAGAATTAATTATAGTGCCTAGACTGAAAGGTCATAATAAAAGAAAGAGATGTGACAATAAAAGCAGAGTTTGAAGTAGTAATTTATTCATGGATCACAAAATACGGACATCCTCTAGAATTTGAACAAGGCAAGGAAATGTACTCTTTCCAGAAATAATCATATTTCTTATCTGATTTTAAAGATAATGAATTTGTGTTTTACAAGGCTATAAGTTGTGAATAATATTTTCCTTTCAAAGAAACAAACTAATATTCAGATCCATTATGTTTATGTACTTTTAAATACATACAGGCATGGAGTTAGATATTTTTAAAATGGATTCTTGTTAACCATCTACTAGTATACGTTAAACAGAAATGCTTATTACTATTTTTGAAAGTAAACTTTTGTGTGTATATGTATGTATGTTTGTATTTCTCTATTCTATATGTGTATGACTAAAGGGATTTCACAGAGAGGGGAATTTAAATGTAATCTAAATTAAAGTATCCTAATAAGATTATATCACTTTGAAGCATATGTAATTATGGCAACTAGCCTAAAATACTAAGAATTTTATTGTATGGTTACTGAAGGAATTTCTAAGTTATATCGGATCACCATAGTTGACAATAAAATAGTCATTTAAAAGTTTTCGTCTAAACATATGACCTTTTTAGTGTTTAGTAATACAAATATTTCCTTCTGTCAGAATGTAATCATATTTTTTATTGGTACATGTTTACAGTATATCATGGTTACATTTGTTATGAAGTTCTGGTACATGTAATAGAAATGTATTCTTTATAAATATGAAAAAGATTTGAATAATCAAATTTTATTTTCTAGCAATTCTTTAATATGTGTTGATTTGTAAAATGTATTCCTGGCTTGCCCCACTTACTTTGCTTCAGTAGGTTTCCAGAGGATCCCTGTCCTTGTACCAACTTTTATTTCAATAATTAACAGGAAGTTTAAGAAATAAGTGTCCAAATTCATGAATTTATTACTTTTGTTGCACAGTTACTTTACTCCTTTGTTTCTCCTTCAGTATTTAATTAAGGTTTCCATTTCAAATATCAAGAGCACATTTATAGTGATGTTAGTAATAGGAAATATTGCCGGGCGTGGTGGCTCATGCCTGTAATCCCAGCATTCGGGAGGCTGAGGCAGGGGCTCATTGCGAGTTCGAGACCAGCCTAGGCTACAAAGTGAGCTTAAGGTCAGCCTAACTGCATAGCAAGACCCTGTCTCAAAAATACAAAAAAAAAAAAAAAAAAAAAAAAAAAAGTAATAGGAAATATGCCAAAAGATAAAACAATCTGAGGAGAAAGTAATATATTTTTACATGGTTGGGTGCACCAGTATTTGGTGCATAATTATTTATGATTGTTATCGCTTTCTTTTAGAGTTTTCCCTTATCAAGCATGTAGTATGTAGTAACCTTCGTGTCTTTTGATGTGTTTTGCTTGTAGTTTCAACCTTAAGTGGCTGTGTGTTCTCTAACTAGAATATGTTTAGTAGAAATTACAATGCCTTAGTTTCAGTGGACTAGGTGGCACTGGTAGTATTTGTAATTTCAGCTGAATGGGGTTGACATAGCTGTAGTAGTTCAGTAGAAAGTGTTCTCAGAGTCTGTGACAGGGGCGTTTCTGTTGTGGTCTTAAGATCAGCGCTGTCGTTAAAAGGCTTGTGAAACCAGCCTGTTAGGGTAGACTCAGGAAAAGCTACAGTGTGAGTTGAGGAGTTGTGTGTTCCATTGAGGTAGTTACTGCTGAAGGCCTGTATAATGCCAGGGGAACTTGTGTCATAGTTTAAATACTGTGTCGGTATTATGCTTAGTTGAAGTGAACCTTTGGTCGGAGCCCTGGAGACACTGTAGTGGAAGGTTTACTGGAAAGGCTGGTGTGTCTGTCTCTTTTTTACATTATGGTAATTATTTCAGTTTAAACGGGGATTGTGGTGGTTATGTTGTAGATTTAGAAACTGTGTTGTTGCCTCCAGCCTCACAGGGGTGGGTGGGACCCTGCTCCACTCACTTCTCCCACCCCCCACCCCACCTGCCGCGCCCCACCCCCACCCAGGGCTCCTAGAATGGCCTTTGTCCCCTCCCCCACTCCTGTTACTTGGGAACCCTGGAGACTGAGCATCCCTGGAAACCAACTGTTCTCTGCCTCTGGAGAAGCAGGTTGGTAGATATTCGCTGCTCAAGGGATTCCTGGAAAACGGACTCCTTAGTCTTAAGATCCTAACAGATGGGAACTCAGTGCAGACCGAGGTGCTCCTGCTGAGAGCAGCATCCTTTTAAAGAGGATCCTGTGCTTGTCTGGAGGATCAGAAGACCCAGCCATCCCAGGAGGCCGGCCGGCCCTCCCGCAGGAAGCAGAGGCTCACTTCAGGAAGCCACTGTGATCCGCGAGTTCTTCCAGCATGTGTAATCAAGGGGACGACTGCTATTTCTTTTTCTATTCCACATGTACCAAAGGGGACGCGTGCCCCTTCCGCCACTGCGAAGCTGCTCTGGGGAATGAAACGGTTTGCACGCTGTGGCAAGAAGGGCGCTGCTGGCGACCGCTGTGCAGGTATCGGCACATGGCCGTGGACAAGAACCGCAGCGAAATTCCGTGTTACTGGGAAAATCAGCCTAGCGGGTGTCAAAAGCTAAACTGTGCTTTCCACCACGACAGAGGTCGCTATGTCGACGGCCTGTTCCTACCTCCCAGCAAAACTGCAGTGTCCTCCGTGCTGCAGTCCCCGCTGGAGGCCAAGGCCAGCCTGCTCCCAGTTCAGGGGAGCAAACTCGGGGTCCAGGCTGGAAGCTCCCCCACACTGTGGAGCACACCCGGAATGATAGGGGAGAGTTACCAAAGAGCTCCTTGCTCCAGGCACCCACAGATTTTGATGAGTGCCACACAAGCTGATGAAGATGAAGATGACCAGTTCTCTGAGAAGTGCAATGGAACCATAACACCTCCTCCGCTGTCCACGCCTGAAGTCCCTAATGGGTCACAGGTGGCTTCTGCACAGAGACCTGGTGTCAACTTAAAGCAAGAAGTTTCTTCAGGAGCTTCCAGTCTTCAGCTCCAACCTCAGCTCCTTCCGGGGCCTGAAAAAGGGCATGTGCGCACTGTGGTGAGGACAGTCACTCTGTCAAGCCAAGGAGAAGACCCCTTGGTTCCATTGAGTCTTTCTGAGAGACTGGGGAAAAGAAAACTTTCAGCCGGTGGTGACAGTAATCCCCCACCAAAGTGGAGCCTGACAGAGCTGCCAGGAAAGAAAGTTGAAGCTCCAGAAACAAGTATTGACCAAGCACCAAAGAAAGGGCATGTGTCCAAGTCTGTCAAGGAGCGACTGGGCATATTAACTAGGCCAGCCAGTGATGAAGCAACCACGAGAGGCGATAAAGTCAGTGAGATCCATGTGAAGACGTTAGAAGAAATTCTTCTTGAAAGAGCCAGTCACAAACACGGAGGGTTGCTAACTCAGCTCAAGACAGCCGGTCCTTCCAAAGCTGATGATTTCACATCAAGAACGGGCAGCTCCTCCACCGTCCGAATCAAACCCTTCTCTGAGATCCTGGCTGCAAAGCAGCAGCAGCAGCAGCCATCAAAAAAACAGCAAAGCAAAAGGGATGCGAGATGCATCAAGGTAAAGATCAGTAACGACAGTAAGAAAATAGTCCTTTTGCCACCCATTGCTGTTGACAAAGGACACTCAGAGGAGCCTGCAGATATAAGAAAGTCGCTGCAGGACGTGCACGTTAAGACCCTGGCAGAGATCAAGCTGGAAAAGGCCCTGAGGGTACAGCAGAGCTCGGAGAGGGGCACCAGCTCCCAGCCCCAGCCTGAGGCCACCCCAGGAACAAGGCAGCTGTTCCAGGTCCCCGGAAGACCAGGCATGAAAGGAGAGAAGAAGCTTCATGAAGACTGTGAAACTACTTTTCAGAGCAGAGTTACTACAACACCAGCTAAGGAACAGCAGCCTTCAGATGAGGCTGTAGGAGTCCATACCACACTTTCAGTCCGGAGGTGTGAGACCCTGAGAGAGGAGCATATGCAGACACAGCAGAAGGGGGTCGCACTGCAGGAGAAGTCAGCCTTGGCACCCTTTCAGGGAGACGCAGCCTCTTGCAGTGCCCACGTGGAGAGACCTGTGCTTACCGCTGTGGCAGGTGTCACATGTCACCTTACCGAGCCGCGTCTCACAAAGCCATGCCAAAAGATGGAGGTAGAAACCTCCGCGATTGGGGACTCAAAATTCAATACGATATATGCTCCACAGTCTTTGGCAAAAAAGGGTAAAGCTAAACCCAAAGTAAGTGTGAAACCATCTGGGGTTAAAGCTGTTCCATCTCCCCAGTTGCCCCAAAAACGCAAGGCCGTGGAGCTGCATCCTGATGAAGCTGCAGCTGTGAAGCCACTGAGCTCCATCAGTGCCCTGCAGGTGAGCCCCGCCAAAAGAGCAGCTGCGGCTATTGCTCCACCCTCCTCTGCCAACAAATCAGTCCCTGTGCCTGAGAAAGAAAAACCTGGAGACGGTTTTGTGCTGCCTCCAAGCCAGTCTTCTCCAGACCTGTGGTCCCTGGAAGTATCTGGCCCTTCCTCATCCCAAATGGCCACAGAAACTTGCCAAGCCAGCTCTCCCTCCACAGGAGAACCCCCACTTCCCACAGAGGATGATTTTGAGAAACTAGTACAGGAAATTTTAGGAGACAACTTAGAAGCTGTGATCGACTTGGATCTTGACAAAGATGCAGACGAACTTCTGCTTGAACTCTCAGAACTGATTGACAGCTTTTAAAGGCGGTAGTGAGAGCACTTAAAAAATTCACCACCTACGCTTAGTTTCCGTTCCTGTCCCTTGTACCTGAGAAGATTATTTCTTTATCCCTGAATTTATCCCAAGTCAGAAGTATAATTCTGAATTATCTACATGGATTCCTGGGGGTTAGATTTTTCAAGTCTCTTGCTAACCATTTTGTCCATTTGATGCCATCGTTAAGCATCTTTGAGGGAAGAAAAAATTCTGTACCATCCTTCTTTCCACACAGAAAGAGACTGAGCCGGAGATCTAGAATGAAAAGATGGAAAAAACTTACTGATTCCTTGAGGTGTTTAAATGATTAAGAATAGCTGCTGCTATTGTGGTCTAAATTTCATGCTATCACTGAAAACAAAAGACTCAACACAATCTGAGTTGTCATGTCTTTTTAATGGTATTTGGAGATTTTAAGTAAGCTTTAAAAGTGTTTCTTGAGAAACCCAAAATATGGACACAGTTCTTTGCATCTGATTTTGATGCTTTAGTTGCTTCAAAAAGCAATAGGCAGGTTATTATTGGTGTACCGTTTAAAGAGATTTTCAAGCTTCAGAGGTCCCCTGAGCCTAATATTCTACTTCTTGGATTCCCTGTATTTGGAAAGGATTCTCTGGATTAGAAGAATTCTTTCCCTTATTATTATTTGCCTCCTCCTGTGATTGAACTATCACTCATCCAAGCTACTATTATTTACTGTGGACCATGGTAGTACACTAAATTTTCCTGTAGGACGGATTTTAAGGTGTTCTGGGGGAATTTTCCAGTCTTCTTCATTTGTTTTTTGCTTGATGTTGGTCTTGCTATCACCTAAGGTTTAGACTTGTGAAGAAACCAGCATGAGGAGGTATAGTTCTGAAAAGAGATGTGGTACATTATCAGGAGGAGGAAAGAAGTTTTCCATTTTGATATTTTGCTATGGGAGCCCAGTGTGGTTTCTCCCAGGGAAACTGTGCCACTTGTCATGTTGACTGCTAGGGAACTGCTGTTTTAAGTGGCCCATCAAGAGTGGAATTTCATGTAGTCTTGCAGGATTATAGAACAGGAAGAAAGGCACGGGACGGCACATTCAGTGTAGGGAGGATCTGGTTGGTTCTGCACAAACAGAAGTGTCTGAAATTCATGTTTAGATGCAACTCTACCAATCCCTCTTTAGCTGAATGGTACAGTAGTCTTTCTCCAGAGCAGGGGTGGAAAATTCTGATTTAGATACAGATTATATAAACTCATTTCATTGGAACCAGCTTATAGATCCCATATCCCTTTTGTATATAGCTGTTATTCTTTTTAAAAAGTAATTTGTTTCACATGTAAAACACTTATATTAGTTAGTGACTCATATTTAACACTATCTGAACCATTTACTACTACAGAAAGAAAAATATATATGTGTGTTTCAAATAAAACTAGAGTAGAAAAGTGAAAAATAATATTATAGTTGTAAGTTCAGGCGGCCAGGCATTGATTGGCTTTAGAGTAATAGAAAGTTCCCTGCTATTATAGTTGTAGATAAATTTGTTTTGGTCATAGTGGTTGGTTACGTTATATTAAATACTGTAGGATGACAGACAAAGCTGTTGTTCCACGATGACTTATTATAGGCTTCCGGTCATTTGGTGGTATATGAAAAAAGTGTGGGCCACATTATAATCTTGTTGATTGACCAGGCACGTGATGAGTACTCCACTTAGTCTTGCTACTACACAGGCTAAAAAGACAAACAATGGGGCCAGTGATATAGCTCAGAGGCACAGTGATTGCCTAGAAAGTGTGAATATGAACTCTATTCTTGGCTAGTTCCCCCTCCAAAAAAAAAAAAAAAAAAAGACAAATAAGATTTTCCACAAAGACTATTCATTGGATGCATTTTGTGCCACCTAAAAGGATTTAAAAATGGTAAGAATGAAATCAACCATTTTTAGAAAAATGAAAATCATTTCTTTGTAATTTTAATTGTATTTTAATTGCAATTTTATTTGTATTAAAGTATTGTTTGTGTTAATTTGTAAATTGTTTTATCAGATAAATACATAAATTTATTTTGTGTTGTCTCTTCATAATAATTACTAAGTTAAATTTCTATATTGTCATTCTGAGAAAAAATTGATTTTATGCATTCCCAACCCCTGGAGTAAAGAAACACATTCTCCAAAGTCAATTTTCTTATTTTTATGTCTCTTTCTCTTAAGTAATGTTAAAGTAACTTGTGAAGAAACCCCAAACTCCCAGAAAAGATCAGCACACAGGCAATTTATTGACTGCATATTACAAAGATGGAATTCCCCAAATTCACCAAATTTTAAAGTTTTTTTCCCTTGGAGTCTTCTAGTCAGAATGAAATCAACCATTTTGAGAAAAAAGAAATTCAGTCATTACTTTGTAATTTTAATTGCAATTTTACTTGTATTAAAGTATTGTTTGTGTTAATTTGTAATTTGTTTTATCAAATAAATACATAAATTTATCTCCAATAAACAGGCTTCTTAGAAACCTTCCATGATCTGCATTCTAATTATTAGGCTGAACTAACTAGCTAGTTTAATATCAGCCTTTTGCTAATCTTCAACTCAGATTAGACTTTGTCTGAATAAAATTTTTTAGATCCTATAAAATTCCATGTCCTATAAACTATCAGCTGTTTTCACTTGAAAAATTGTGTATTTTCTTTGAACCTTGTTCTCTTCATCTGGAAAGTACTAATGATAAGAATGCTTGAATCAGACTATTGGCATGAAGATTACCATAGGTGAAATTTCTTTGAATCTACAAAGTGTGACACAGGAGAGAATCTGTATAGATGATGGTTGGATGACATCTGGAACCATAAAGAAGTTAGTTTCATATTAGCTTTTCCATTTACAGTGTAATCTTGGGCAAATTACTGCAATTTTTAACATGTCCCATGTGATCACTGTGGACCTTAAATGGGACAGTACCTATAAGTTGTTATTTCATTTGATAGGACCTAGTAAATGTTGAAAGGTGGTTACACTTATTTTCATATGGATAATTTTTATAATGTTGCAACAAAATTGTTATTTAATGATCATATAACATCAAAGCAGGAAAATAAGAATATCATATCAAGAATTCTTCGGTTTGTCTCAAAAATGAGATCTAGGTTTCTTAGTTTGCTTCATGCTAGTCCTGACTCAGCCATTAACATGTTAATGTCCCCTTATCTGAAATGCTTGGAAACAGAAGTATTTCGGATATTGGATAGTTTTCAGATTTTGTAAAATATATATATGTCATGAGATATCTGGGGATGGGTCACATGTCTAAACGTGAAATTCATTTTGGCATGTATTACACACATAGTCTGAAGATGATTTCATACCACTTTTTTGGTCTGTTTTTTAAACTGTGACCCATTACACAAGAACAGATGTGGTGTCATACAGAACTCATAAAATTTGCCTTTGGGGGATTTCTGATTAAATAGCATTTAGAATCACTGTCAGTTCAAAGGCTGATGATGTTAACTTCTGTATAGAATAGAGACATTTTCTTTTTTCCTTTAAACTCATTCCTTCCAAAGTGCTTAAGCCAGTATTAATGTGTTTGGAATTATAATTACAGAATAAATAATATTTTAAAATCTATAAAATTATGTTGCTGAAAATTACACCTGTTTTAGATTAATATAGAAATATTTTTTAAAATGCTGCATGTATTTGTGTACTACCTGAAGAAAAGTACAAGATTTGCAACTGATGATTTGTAGGTGAAAAGTTAATAAAATTGTCAGAGATTCAACATGTTTGAATAGCGAAGGACCCATGTTTGAGTTACTCAGAAGAAATCATCTAAAAACATACAGCTAACTGGAACCTCTAGGGAGAGCAAGGTTAGGGACTGCAGGGGCTGTGGTGAAGGGAGTGAGTGCCCCGCTCCCAGGGCATGAGAGAGAAGTGGCAGGATGGATGTGACCCTAGGCCACACTGAGGAAACAAGTCAGTACTCGCCCTGCCTGTCTCCCAGTAGTGGGAGTAGAGGAAACACGCAGTGGAGTGAGTGGGCCAGAGGAGGCTGTATGAGGGTGGGAGTGGCCAGCCGTACCTGGGATGGGAGCAGCCTCAGGCTATCTGTACCTGAGGGCCCTGCAGCAGCTGGGAGAGTGACAGAGACACGCAGGGTGAGATGTGGGTGGCTGCTGAGGGACATACAGAAAGCTGTTGGCTGCAGACTGGTCCCAGTCCCTACAAGCAGAAACCAAGATCAGCTTTGCACCTAGCACTAACCCTAGAGTGGACTTGGCATGGTTACTTAGTTACTTTTCTCTCCTTGCTGAGGCAAAATACCCAACACCTTTTCACCCTTTTTTTTTATAATAGGTACCAGGGATGGAACTCACAACCACGTGCTTGCAAGGCAGGCGCTTATGCCGCTGAGCTAAATCCCCAGCCCATCAACTCCCTAAATTAAGAAATAAAAGGTTTATTTTGCTCACAGTTTGTAGAGATTTCGGTCTGTACTCAGCTGGCTCCAAGGCAGCATGGCATGGCACTGAGGCAACACTTCAAGGCAGCATAAAACAACAAAACCAACAAAAGCAAAAGAGGGAGAAACATAAAGTTCCTTTTCCTCCCTTATATTGAATGTAGGGTGGGGCTAGCGCTCACACCATCTCTGTGCCCTTCTAGTGCACAGGCTCAAGATGTTTACAAAGTGAGGAGCCCCCTGCTAAGTTACTTAATTAAAATTTCACATTTTTCTAGTTGACACAATGAACAACATCCTAGAGCAGAGAGAAAGTGTCCTTTACACCCCAGGATATGGAAGTGCTGAGTTAGTTAAGCTTCTAGAGGTCTCAAGTCAACACAGTGTATCAATCATAACAATCACCCAGCAGGTATTTGAGCTCTGACTTGGACACTACCACAGAACTGCGGCCCAGGAGGAATTTTATTTTATTTTTATTATTTGTATTGTTTTTCTTTTTCTTTTTTTATGATGGTTTAGATGTTACTTATATTATTTTGTTTTGTTTGTTCTTTTTCTCTTCCCTCAACTAGCTTTCTTGAGTTTTTTGAAATTTACATATGAGTAGATATTGTCTCTGCTGTCTGGTTCATTTCAATATTCTCTTGCTTTCTCCTTCATTCTTTCTCTCCTGTCCTCTTCTCCACTTTGTCAAGTTTAGGTGATCATCCTTTCTTTTAGCCTGCTGCTACTATCTCTCTTTAATTTTCTCGCTATCTTTTCACTATCCCTTTGAAATCTCCCTCTCCCTTAGTGTAAAATCATTATATTAAGGGAAACTCACAACATGTAGGTTCCTGATTATGCTGAATTTTGTTCTATAATTATAGATCATGCTTCTGTGTTAAACATACCAAGTTAATAGTTATCAGAGTTTGTCAGTTTCTAGGCTGTGCTTGATGCTACTGCTATTGTTCAGAGCACTACATTAGCTAGTATCATACTTGTTGTAATCACGTACTCTCCCA